CTTTGGTTCATAGTCCCCTTCTGTCTTCAAAACTGTAAATGTTGCATCTTTCTAACCCTTCTTCTCATAGTTATATCTCCTGACTTCATCTGGGAAAGGTTCTCTGCTTTTAAGGACCTGTGTGATTACACTGAATCCACCTGGATAACCCAGAATAATCTCCATATTTCAAGTCCCTTCACTTAATCACACCAGCACAGACTCTTTTACTACATAAGATAACATTCACAGGTCCTGAGGATTAGAATAAGCCACTTCTCGGGGGCTGTTATTCTGCCACCCACAGTTTGTAATATGGTCTAAGTGAAGTGTCACCTATTGCATTCTGCTGGCATGTGTGAATTTCCTTTAATCTCTCATAGCTCCCCTCTCCCACTTAAAGTGAAGCTCTCTCTAAAAAAATTAGACCTTTTATTTTTTTTAGGTGGTATGTTTATTATACGCTCAAGCAAGAGTGTCTAATATATATCTATGATTCACTGGAAAGGTTATTTCGACTCTATTTAAACTGGTTTTCTAAAGTGAAAACTGTAATATAATTCTAAGTGTAGAAATTTTTCAGTAGGGGCAATAGTTCACTTGGCCTCTCATCAGTGGAGAAAGGTGTTTGGAGAGCCTGCATTACTTTAGTGAATGTACAGTCCATGGTTTGATTTGCATCATTGCAGGCTCCGAAACTGCTTTCAACAGCAAATAGAGCAGATCCATCTCGTGGTAGACTCACTGTGAGAACCAATGTATGAAAAATGCCAGTTTACAGATGTAAGTACAACTTGTATTGATGATCATCGAATTCTTTCCTTACCTAGGCAGACATATGTGGGAAACTGAAACATTAATATGATGGGGTGAGTCAGAATGAGGGGAATTAGATAACGCATTGCCTAGAGCATCAGATATAAGGGTTAATGCTGAAACCAGAAAAATGACTTCCCAGGGCCTGCAGGAATGCAGAGGGGTGCATGGCCTAGGGAGCTACCTTCAAGATGACCTTGTTACTGACACTGGAAACTTGGCTTGAGTTTTCACTTCCATTGACAATACCCATTCAAGCATTATCTGTTTGTGGCTTTAAGGTCATTTTGAATATTTCTCCTCTAATATATTTGTTATAGAGGTAATTCAAAGAGGGCAATTTTCCAAGTTCAGGGAAGCCTCACAGTTGCTTCTAAGAGCTGACAATATGGAGCATGCGTTTGAAAATCAAGAACTTTTTAAGAGCTCTGCCTGTATCCCAGAACATTCCCAGTCCTCTAGGGAGCTTATGTTTCCCTTCTTATCACAAATAGAGACTGAGGGGTGGATGATCAGTGAGCAAGGTGTTAAATGCATTGGTGAAGGCTGCTGCTTTTCCTGGGTCCTGGTAAATGACATGAGCCTAGTCACATTGTTACATTATGGGTTAGGATGGAGGAAAATGTTTTGATACATTGTCTTGCCAATGGGTTTCAGCCCCAGGCAAGTTCACTATGGATTCAGTGAGACACTGAAAAATGACAGTGGAACATTCTTGGGGTGAAAGGGTTTATACCCAACTTTATTCCTACAGTGGCAGGTCAAGCATTAGAATCCCATTCACTCAGAGTGAGTCTGAATGGTGCAAGCTGATCTCTGCCTCAGGGCCTCTCTACCCCTGCAGCCACCTCAGTCTCTGTCCTCGGTGCTGCCACCACTCCATTTCTGCTCTCCTGCAGCCCTGCAGCCATGTGGCCATGCCACTGTGCCGCCCAGAGCACTGCGCAGAGCTCTTTTATATAGAGTTAGTAACAATGTATTGCCCACATGTGTGTAGTGAGCAAGCCGACCAAGGCCAGTTGAGACTCCTGGCCATAGGAACCTTCCCTTTATCAACATACATCAAGTATTTACTAAGCACTTGTATTTGAGGTATAGCACAGATACCATTTTGCCGTATGGTATCTGGATAAGAGAAATTCTAAAGTTACAGAAATAAAGTAAGGAGCAAATTTCTTAGATGTTGTCAGTAGATAAGTTTGAATTGTACAAAATCTGAATTCATATGTTATTTGTAGCATGTGACTTAAATGTACATTGCTCATTTTATTATACTTAACACAGAAAGCCTGTGGTGTGTTTGAAATCCTTTGGTGTGTTTTTTTAGGATAGGAAGAACTGTTGCTACAACATGAATTATTTTGTCACTGGTCTTTGCATGTCTAGTTTATAGGTAACTGAAATTTTATTAGGAGAGAAGAAAGAGCCTATGTAGTTCCCACACTCTAAAAGAAATGCTAATATTATACTTAATTTTCTGAAATAGGATTTTTATAAGTATTTTGGGGGCACATGAACTTACAAAATGACATCTACCTAGACTCATATTGGTGAATCTCAATGCTTTCCTTCCATTATAACAAGTTCTACTAGTCTCCAGCTTATTATAAAAAACTCAATAACCTTATCCTAAAATATTGATCACTTTTATTTCAATGACTTAATAAAAATGGTGTAAAGATTTTTTTCCAAAACAATAGTTTTTGTTTTCAAAATAGCATCCATTTACTTAATATAAATGAAAGCATATCTCTTTTACATTGAAACTAGAATGTATTTTTCTTTATTAACTTTAACCATTGACATGTAATTGAAGTTTTGTTTAGGGGTCTAGATAGGAACTCTGGTAGATCCAGGTGTTCTACGTACATAATTCTTGAACCTGTTTGAAAAAGAAGCAGAACTGTTGGTATTTTGTTTGTTCTCCCAGAGTCAGAGCGTTACTGGCTCTGAAGCACACAGCTCTTTGGGATGTGTGTTCTCATAATGAGAGTGGAGCTTTTAAAACAGTTCTCTTATCCCCACTGAGTTTCCCTTGAATGGCTCGAGGCAAGATTTCTTAGTTTAGGCTTGTACTCAGATTCCTTTCTACTATTTGGGAAAAACCAAAAACTTTATTCCCCTTTTTGGAATGAGATTTGAGAATCTTATTAAAAGAGGTCCACCTTAGCCTACAGGTCTTTGAATCACAAGGCAACATGAATCATTCTGTCAAGTAAGAACCTGCATTTTCAAATGATGCCTAACCCACTTCCTGATCCAGAATAGGCACTAAATAAATATTTGGTGAATGACTGAGGCGATACCTCAGGATTTAAGGACAGTTCTTCATCTAAGAAAGCCTTGTCCTTTCTAAACAATTCACTGCTTTGCAGCAACTAGAGTGAAAGACAGGAAGATCTAATCATCACCAGTGTGGCTGAGTATAAAAGGAAAGGTGATACCTTAGACTAACAGCTATTAAAGTTGCAGTGTAAAACTTGCTGTTACATTAGGAAGCAAATATACAGTCAATGCATTTATCAGTGAACAAGTGATAAGATGTACCAGATGTCTTATATTTCAGTGCCTGTTTCCTTTCCTCCTCCCATCCACATTTTCTGGAAATGTAATGGTTATGTATTTGCTTCTAATAATTCTGATGACTACTTAACTGAAAATTTAGATGCAAATAACTATGCCATGTGGTACGGGGGACATAGATATGAATAAGACCTCTTATTCCCTCTTCCTTGTCAGAATGAGGTCTATTTTTTTCCAGCTAAAATTTAAATGGTGCTGGTTCTTGCAACTGCTATTGTTTGAGAAGCAAGATGGAGAATATGGTTCTTAAATGAACTATAACGGCAAAATAATTGAGAGACTATTTGCATCCAGCATGTATCATTATCGGCTCACTTTTTCAATTTAAACACTGTAAAGTTCTTGGTTTTTGGGATCAAGACTCTGGACAACAATTGTGTTTATATTTATTTGCCACTTATCGCTGAGACGGTTCTTAATGGAGACTTTCTTCCAGGAGTTAATCGGGACTATGCAATTGAAGTTTTGCACTTAAGCCTTTTGTGTGTAAATTGTTTTCCCTGAATTTGTAAATATTTTTCATAGAATCCGTTCCTCAAGCTATGGGTTCTTTCTTCTTTTATCTTGAATTGGATCAAATTCTTCCTTTTCAGAAATGTTTTTGATGTTTATTTTTACCAGTCTCTTACCTCTGCCCCACTTTGGGAGGCCCAACTCACCTTCGCCTTTGGCCTATGTGAGGACAGGGTTCTTACAGGTTTATCACTGTATCTTCCATAGCTCTGCATGATTATACCCTCTGAAGGTTCAGTTCAGCTCCATTGAGCATCCCGGGTATTTGTGGAATACTACTGCACCAATGGGGGTGGGAAATAGGTTTCGCTAACAAGGGACTAACAACCAAATGGGGTGGTAAACTGTGTACGTGTTAAGCGTTAAGTAACTGGAACATGCTTCAAGGCAGGTCAGTATCACAAAATGAGAGCTCAAGGGGGCAAACAGCTGTTGAAGTTTTCAGGGAGCAGTGGGGCCTGGGAAAGCGGACAGAAGAGGAGGAGGCAAGATTTATTTCATTAGCCTTTATTAAAAAATTATCGGGGAGGAGTATTAAGAGTTGATTCAAGTGCGCAGACGCGTTACTTCGAGACTCAGGGTCACCGGGTGTGCATCCCGGCTGCCGGCCTTTCACCCAGGCCTCGGGCCAGCTCTTCCTCCGAGCTCAGCTGGTCCTTGGAGCGCTGCCAGGAGCGGTCAGGTCAGAAGGATCCCCACCGCAGCCCGGGCCTGGGCCCGCCCAGCCGACTCTCCTCTGCTCAGGCACCTCCCTGGCCGCCCCTCTCGGAAGGGTCCTGAGGCGCCGCGGACAAGCGCGGCGATTGGCTGCGGCTCGGGGCTGGGCACGGCTCCAGCATCGCTTGACAACCGCAGTCCGCAAGAGGCTGGGCTGAGCAGTCTCCCTCCCGGGAGTGGCGGACGCGAGGAAGGACGGACTGACAAACTGATGGATTGACGCGCGGGCGGCCGGGGGAGGACCGACGCCAAGCCCAGACCGCCGCCCTCGCGCATCAGCGCCAGCCCGGAACCGGCCGCTTCGCGCCCCCACCCCCGCCGGCATTTGGGCCGCTTTCTCCTCCGACGCTTCTCCGGGCTCGTCCCGGAGCCCTCAGGTGAGTGACTCCGGGAGGCGGAGGCGGGGTCGAGCCGAGCTGTACACCTCGGGTTGCCATGGTCACCCGTCGCCACCTGTCTCCACCTGACACGATCCGACCCGGGCCGCCCCACGGGCGGCGTTCGCGGCTCCGGAGAAGGGTCCCGGGTAGGTTTGGATGCTGACTGGGTGGGGACTGGGGTCGTGGGTGAGGTTCCGGCGCCGCCCGTAGGACCTGGGAACTGCTGGGCCCTTTTTGGAGGCCGCCCTCCTCGACCACACCTTCCCCGCACTGCCAGCCCGGCACTGGGGGCAGAGCGATGCCCCTCGCCCCAACACCGACGCCCCTGAGCAGTAAACGAGTGCAGGTTTCGCGCCCACCTTAGCTGCTACTGAGAGGCGAGAGGGGTAGCTGGCCGCGCTGATTCTTCCTCACCCTCGGCAGGGCTCGTGCGAGCGCTGAGGGGCGCGCTCGCGTCCCTCTCTCAACACTCCTGGGCCGCGAGGAGGGGCGGGAACGGCGGGGCTGCGAGCGGAGCGGCGGCGTGGGGCAGCCCCTCTGGGGCAGGGTTTTGTCTTTCTTAAGTCAGTGGTCAGTGGGAGCAGCCGCTGGGGGCTGGGCGGGGGTCGGGAACAGGGGTGGCGACTGGATTTGGAACAGGGGTTGTGCCGGGGCTGGGATGGGGGGAGGGCGCCTGCGTAGACGACAGTCGAGAACTCACAGGGTTAATAAGCCCTTTCCCTGTACTGGGGAGAAAGAGATTGGGGGTCTAGCTGTGGGGCAAAAAAGGTGAGGACGGCGGTAAGCAGGGGTGGCGTTTGACCAGCGTTGGATCTTACCCAGACATGTAGGCAGTATCCTCGCGTGGTATCTGAGCGGAGCATTTTTTTGGCAACTTGATTTTCTCTGCATAATGAAAGGAGATGTCTTTGTTTCACCCAGATTCATAGGTTGTGATCCCAACACTTTATTTCCCTCCCTTTGTTGTAGACTTCATAGAATGCTTCAAGAAGTTAATAGCACAGAGATTAACTTGTAGGTTTTTAATATGCTATAAATATTTTTTCACAGTAAATCCAAGTAGAATTTTTTTTTGTCTCCAGTGCTGGCATGTGTTGCATTGAAATTTTACTAGAAAGGAGAAACGCCTAAGAGCCTGTTTTCCCTTATTTGGCAAATTCTGGAGGTCTAATTTAGGAGGAATGTGTAATGAACAATTTTTCCATAGGTTTTAGAGATTAGATTGCTTCCACGAAGGCAAGAAAAATTGTGATATGTGAGAGAAAAGACAAGCAATTAAGCCATAACAGTATATTAAGTCAAACAAAAAACACTTCAATTTAGATGCCATTATAGATATGCAATTATTTTTGTGAAAGGATTTTGACATGTTTATATTTCATCCTCTTGCTTCCTAATTCTTTCCTTTCTTAAAAAAAAAAAGGGCAGTACTAGGAATGTATCATAAGAAAACAGGGGTACTATCCTATGTTTCTAGTTACATAATTGTGTTTAGCCAGCCTCTTCATTTTTGTGAAATCGAATTTGTTACTGAGGGGATAGCATATCATATGCTTGATATACGCTGTAGTTTGTGAAACACTTCAAAATAAGTATGAAAGAAGCAGTATTCCTTAGATTAGCAAACTGGAAATCAGATTGCCTGGATTTGACTTGCTCTTTGCTACTGATTACAATCCTGCCAGAGCTGCTACCCTGCTACTGAGTCTGATTTTTTTATCTATAAAATGGGGATAATACCTTCTGTTGTTTTAGTCTGGAATGGACTCTAAAGTTGAACAAAATAATGTATTTGAAAGCTCTTTGGAAAAGAATTTAAAGCATCTGTTGATTACCTTTTAGTAGAGTGGAGTATTGACAAGGATAATTAAAATTTTCTGCATGGTCTATTTGGCATTTCTAGGTCCAGGATCTTATTTCTTACAGTGGCCTTACAAGTTTCATAGGAACTGTTAAGGCCTGTCCTTACTCCTTGGCAGAAGTTCTTTATTACTGTGATGATGCTCAGAAAAAAGGGTGTTTCCTCTCTATATGTGGGTCAGGATTGCTTTCAGTAGGATTCCTTATTTTTTTTTATAAAAAAATATATGCTTTCTTATTTCAGTAGAAAATAAGGCTAAGACCAGTGACTCTGACTTTAGTTTCATCTGATATTAAATAATCCTCAGTGTGGATAGTTGGTTCTTCAATGGTCTAGAAATAGCTCACTTTATGCCTTCTTACCTATGCTTTTCAAATAGGAGTATTTGCATTGTTAGAGACAAGCTGCATTGTGCGAAGAGATAAATCTGTGGTCACATAGCATGGCACACAGTTATGAAGCTGTCATCAATTGTACTTGAAGACTTGGAGAAAAAAATACTGCTTTCATATTAAAACACAAAAAGATGATATGGAGAATTTATTATTCGCATTAATTTAAAAGGTAAAATTCAGACTTCAAAGGAATTTCATACTTAAGCATTCTCTGGGGATGCGTCCAGTTTCTTCTGCCTGTTTGTGAAAAGTTTAAGAAGCAGTGCCTTAGACTTACTCAGCTAATGAATGTCAAGTCACTACGTAGTACAGGATATCAGTTGAATTCCACTTTCTAAAACTTTGACTGATATTAAGCTCAAGATTATTTGAATCCTTATCACCCCCTCTTGTTTTTCCTCCTATAAATGTCAGAATGTTATGGTGGAAAAGGTCACAGGATTTTGGTGAGATAGACCTTCATCTCACTCTTGCTTCTGCACTTTTTACTGTGTGACCTTAGGTAAGTACCTGATGTCATTGAGTATTAATGTAATTATCTGTAAAATGAAATTATAGAGTTGTAAGAATTACATAGATAATTTATGGGAGTATCTCACACAGATCCTGACATAGAATATGCACAATAAATATGCATCTCTGCATATTTGGATGTTAACAATCCTTCAAAGCCATTCTTAGCAGGAAACCTCATTACTCCTCTGAACTTCCATGGTATTTTATTTGTAATTCTTTTATGGTAACTCTTTGTATTTTATGTATATTATTATTATTATTTATTTATTTATTTATTTATTTATTTATTTATTTTTCAAGGTAGGAGAGCAAGGTACAGGCTTTTATTTAGAGATATGGTGAAAGGACAGAGCTCCCGGCTCACGCCAGGAGGGGACAAGAGAGTCCGTAGTGGTGCCTTGTCTAGGGGGTTTTATAGGCAGCTGAGGATTTTTCGAGAACATGAAAAAATTTAGGGATGTGGACTTGTTAAGTGGTTCCTGAATATTTAGAATTAACTTAACACGAGTAACTTCCTCTGATGATTTTTCTCTGAGATACCAGCATCTTGGTCTGGGGGCATATGAAACAAGGCCACCTGCTCAGCCCCCAAGGTGGGCTGAGGTATTGTTTGCTAAAGAGTAAGTTAAGAATTTCCAACATCTTAACTTCTTGGGTATTAAAATGCAATCTTATCTTTAAGGTGGAATCCTTCCTGCCTTTTACTGCGTTGTTAATGCCTGGGCTTACTTGCTAGTTGCCCGGTTTGCAAAATCACTTCATCAGATCTGAAGGAGAAAGACAGCACCTAGGCCTGGGCCTTTTAGTATGCTAAAGAGAACCTTACACATGATTGTAAATGGTTAGCATAATAAAACATGTGCTACTCTTCTTTATTTGGGGAACATTAACTGATCTTACTGAAGAATGATTCTAGAGCTCAATGTTTAACATAGAGTTTTAGCAGGGGGGTTTCCTTGCATGCAGTTGCATTGCTCTGACTGCAAATATCCTGCCCTGCCCCCTCCAGAGGCCCTCACCCTACCCTGACTACATCTATGGTCCCTGTCTCATTCCCCCCTCTACAGATAGACACCCTGGCTGTTGCTTGGGTAAAGGGGGTGATGACCGCTCTGGCTGCTTCATGCTGAGAGGGGGCGCAGTAAGGGGTGCAGCTAGGTCTCCATCAGTGGTCATTCAAGAGAGCCTCGGAAGATGGGCACTTCTATTCCAGATTCTATCTCCATTTGCAGTTTTGTGGCTTCTAGGCAAGATAGAACAAATTGTGTTATTAAGTTAAGTAGCAACATCTGGAGTTGGATTTCCATTCTGGAAGGACAAACTTGATGAGATTAAGAATGCATGGTTGAATATGAGAACTAGAGATAGTAAAACTTTAATTGCAATGGTAAGAGAAAACTAAAACATCTAGAGAATTATAGCCAGATATTTTGAAGAAGCTAGAATTCTGAATCTAGTTTATGTCTCAATGACTAGTATTAGGATTTAGTATGGACGAGGCTGCATTATTGAAACAATACTTTACTCCAAAATCACCGTCATTTTTTTATTTTGGTATCATTAATCTACAATTACATGAAGAACATTATGTTTACTAGGCTCCCCCTTCACCAAGTCCCCCCAACATACCCCTTCACAGTCACTGTCCATCAACATAGTAAGATGCTGTAAAATCACTACTTGTCTTCTCTGTGTTGCACAGCCCTCCTCGTGCCCCCCCACTATACATGCTAATCGTAATGCCCCCTTTCTTTTCTTCCCGCAGTTATCCCTCCCTTCCCACCCGTCCTCCCCAGTCCCTTTCCCTTTGGTAACTATTAGTCCATTCTTGGGTTCTGTGCTTCTGCTGCTGTTTTGTTCCTTCAGTTTTCTTTCGTTCTTATACTCCACACATGAGTGAAATCATTTGGTACTTGTCTTTCTCTGCCTGGCTTATTTCACTGAGCATAATACCCTCTAGCTCCATTCATGTTGTTGCGAATGGTAGGATCTGTTTTTTTCTTATGGCTGTGTAATATTCCATTGTGTATATGTACCACATCTTCTTTATCCATTCATCTACTG